AAATCCGGCGAAACAACTGGCCGCTGTGATACAATTGTACAACAACAACAATAATAATAATAATAATAATATATGCGATACATTTTCACATATCTCAGCACATTCAATGTTGGAGTGTCATGAAACTAGAGCCAATTAACCTCAATTAACAATTGCAAAGCATGTAATTATTACAATGCTACCAGAAACCTCTAGATCACACTATACTGGATGCTACCTACTATCTTTGCTTATGCTGGACTTTTTTTTTAGAGGAGAAGCAAAGTCTAGACTATAGCTACCCAACATTTTTATTTTATTTTATTTAATACATTTATTGGGTGCCCCGAGAGCTTCTTGAAAATGTAGGAGGCTGTCCCTTTTGTTTCATGGTCATTTTTTTCTATTTTAAATTAGGGATATTGGCAAGTGGCAAGAATATGTCCACGAATCTCCTGGTATTCTAAATGTCAAATCATTTGTTGTGGTGGCTGCTGTTGTTATTATTAGAGTTATTTTAAAAACCTTGGGACCAACTCATGAAATCATGATGATCAATGAATATAGGCATATGCTGTATATTTTGTTTTTCTTATGGAACTCAAGATAGTATACATAGCAGTAGGCAACTCCAGTTAATGCAGGATTTCACAACCCACATACACTGCACTTAATGAAGAGCTAAAGGATGTATTAATACATTTACCTGAAAAGAAGGAAAGATTCCCCCACTCCCCAAATAATCACTATAAGTGGATAAAGAGATGCAAACATTTGCAGAGTGTACTCTGAAATATATGGATGCTTCTAAAAATTAGCGTAAGGACTAGCTATTGTTTGACAGGACCAGCTATCCTGTAAATTTAATACTTTAAAAATGAAATCTAATTTCTTTTTTTCTTTAACCATCCAACTATTTCTTCTTCTTATTGTCTCATTTTTTCTCCTTTTTTCCCTTTCTTTCCTGCTGCTCTACTCTACTTTGTCCCATCTCCATCCTGATTTCCCATTTTGTTTTTGACGCCTATGGGGAAGTGTCTGTTCCTGTGTATGAGAATTATTTATGTTTGATTGAATGAATTCTAACATACAAAGATGGAAATCCAAGAATTTTATAACTCAAGTATGTTATTTTACAGATTGAACAATATTAATGATTAATTAAATTTATAGGGTCTTTTTGTCAATTTGATGTTTGATTTTAGCATCAAAATATTTTTTTATTTGATTCTGGTTTATATGCACACATTTAATAGACTAATTTAGGCAAGTTTCCAATATTGGTTTCATCTGGAGTTGACAATCCTAGGTTGATAAGGTGAGGAAGCTGAGCATTACACTAAATTTTTATCTGCATTTGAGTATATTTTTCTTATCCTTCCTTTGGAGGGAGAAATATCTTAAATTAAGGATTATACTCAACTTGATATAATAAATGCACAAAATGAATTTTTACAGTCGAAGGTCTCTTTTTTCTTTAAAAAGATCTGTTTAAAATTTAAAATTAAAACATCAAGAGGATACTTTCAACTTTTTAATACTTTAGATACTAAAAATAATAAATGTTTTAAAGCATATTTGTGATAATTGTCAGCCTTTTACTCCAGAACACAAATTACCTGGTAGGTTCATCAAAAAACATAACTGGTGGGTTGTTCACCAATTCCAAAGCAATAGCAAGACGCTTTCTCTGCCCTCCTGAAAGGCTTCCAGTACGAGTACTGGCACACGACAGCAAACCCAAAGCTGTCAGGAGCTCATTCACCTGTGAAGAGGAACAACATAAGGGAAACTTCGGTAATAATTTATGTAATTGTATTCATATCACAATAGTGATCTCTGAAACATAAATATCTGAAACTAGGGGAGTGTATAAGTAAATATTTTATAATTTTTCTAATATGCCAGCTCTGAAGTATTAGGAAGCACATTGTTTAATATTTATTTTAACATAGTTCAACTGTTTGGAAGTTGCTATTTCTAATTATTGTTAAGGTTGTAAGGAAACAAGACTAAATAGTCATTTTGGATGAAAACTATGATCCTATTCTACTATTATCCATGTATTATACACTTTGCTAAGCATCCTTTTATACCATTTACTAGAGGTCCCTTTCTTATTTCTCATTTAAAAAGCAAATGAAACATTTAGGCTACCAAATTTGGACTGCAGAAATGGAGGTCAGAATTGCTGCAAAGCACCTTTGAATCTTTTTACTTCCATCTTTATCAGCTCAGATATAGTAGCCCTATGAAAGAAGAATCCCTTGGTCCCGAATTAGAATGTTCTGAATCACCGGCACTTAAATTTTAGGTAGATACCAACCTTTCTCAGGAAGTAATATTATCTATCTATCTATCTATCTATCTATCTATCTATCTATCTATCTATCTATCTATCTATCATCTATCTATCTATCTATCTATCTATCNTTTTTTATTCTTAACTTTTAAATGTTTCCTTTGTCTTGCTGTGAGCTGCCCAGAGTCCCAATGGGAGTGGGCAGCATACAAATTTTATTAAACTTAAACTCGTAAACTTATACCATGTTGCTGTATTAAACTTCTGAATCATTCCTTGTAATGTACCATACAAGTATATTTGCACTTCCATTTTAAAAGGAGAGGATATAAAAAACTTATCAAATTGGATTTTCTTAAGTAGTACTGCAGACCAGAGGGATTTAAAACCCTATGACATAGGCTATCCCTCTGGAAATGGGTGAAATGTCTTATGAAAATCTACCATGCAAGTTGACTAGTTAATACCAACGCTGCTCTTTGTAATCTAAAATACTCAGACACAAATAGCAATAGCATTTAGACTTATATACCACTTCATAGTGCTTTAGTTTATAGCGTTCTCTAAGCTGTTTACAAAGTCAGTATATTGTCCCCAACAATCTGAGTCCTCAATTTACTGACTACAGAAGGATGGACAACTGAGTCAACATTGAGCTGGTCAGGATCTAACTCCTGGCAGTGGGCAGAATTAGCCTACAATGCTGCATTCTTAGCATTGTGTCACCATGGCTCATGTGCTGTCATCCTCTACAGCACTTATTAATAAACATAGATTTCAAATAACTGGACTCTTTGCTTTAACAAGCTGAATATTCATTGGAATGTGTTGATCCATACATTTGGCATCACACGTATATTTGGCAATACTCATCCTTTCAGATCTTTGTTGCTTGCCATGGAGTTACCAAGAATCAAAGAGCTTAGAAATGGCTGAAGATTCCACTAAAGTGTCATTGCCTGAGAAAATAAGCTACATTAGTACAGAACAAAACTCACATAAGGGCCATGTGATACCTGAAAAAAATACTGCCATCAGTACCATCAGTTACACCTTTATCTAATTGGCTGGTTGGGAATTCTGGTAACTAGACTCCAAACATACCTAGAAGGCATCAGGTGAAAGTAAAATGCAATATCAATATCATTCTGTATAGTGAATGGATGAGAAAAACTGTCATTTTGATTATTTGCTATCTACTTGCACAGCTGACAAAGACAAAAAGATATATTCAACATATCTACCATTAATCACTGAACAAAGTACCAGATGCTTCCCAAATATTTCTTACATGTATGATTGTCTCTTGGGCTAAGTTGCCAACACAAGTAATACGTGATATGTCATCATATCTCTGAGAAAAGAAAATATACAGCCATTTCAAAACAGAAGTTAAATTGCAGTCACTATAAATAAAGTTTATGGCAAAGCACTATCATTTCACAACAAAGATTTGTATTGTGTCCAGCTAGTTATTCAGTGATAAATGTTAGTCATGGGTGCAGTCATACAAGACAAATTGGAAGATATAGCAACATCTCTAACACCTGCTAAGCTAAGAAATTGGTGGAAACTGTATGGCTAAAGGAGGTAGATCCTGCAAAAAAAGAATGAAGGACTTCTTTTATAAGTCTTACACTGATCTGATTAATCAGTTTCAACCTCTGTGAGCCAATTTACAATTGATTAGCTAATACACAATTAAAAAATATTGTCATCCTCTGCAGCATTTATTAGTGAACACATATTTCAAATTCTCACTTTTCATGCTTAAAAATGGCATTTTTAAGAATACCTTGTATGTGAATCATGGAGCCCAAAAACCAAAGAATTAATGTCTCCAGGGGGGAAAAAATTCTCACAAACACATCAAAATTAGTTTAGGTTTAAAATAAAAACTTACTTTAATTTAATTATCTAACCTAGACTACAACTGCTACAAGATTGTAGTGATAAGACAGAAAATTAGAGTAAAATGGCAAATACTGCTTCTTAAAGTCTTTATTACTCTATTCCACATTATGACAAAATGGAATTTTAGAGAGTAAGACAGAAATTATAGACAGAAAGTTGAAATAGAACTAGATCATCTGGCTCCACTGGAACTGAGAGAGGAGGAACTTTGTTTAAAGGCCTAGAGCAGTCCCCGAGGTTTCTGATGAAGATATTTAAAAAAAGATTATTAAAGTCTTGGCAATTATTTGGATGGGGAAGAGGATGATATAGAGGCAGAAACTGCAAGAAACACCCCAAGGGAAGTTTTGGTGTACTTTGTCAGAAATAAAACAAGTGTTTGAATTTTGTAGCAGCATTTTAATACAAGATTGAATAGTGATAATGCATATATCTGTCCCTAAAAATACCTATAAGAATTTTATGTAAGAAAAAAGAGGGTTTTTTAAAAAATTGAAATATTAAAGCATTTCAATTGGACAAACAATTTTTGACTGTCAGACTCATTATCCATTGCAACACTGTTTATTTTCTACCATCAGTACCTAATTTGCTGGTTGGGAATTCTGGTAACTAGACTCCAAACCTGAAGGCATCAGGTTAAAGTAAAATGCAATATCAATATCATTCTGTATAGTGAACGGATAAGAGGAACAACTGTCATTTTGATTGGTTGTTCCAAGAGACAGGAGCTCTCACAGAGAATGCCCACTTTCACATCTTCAGCAGGAGTGCTCTGGACAGACAGTTGGTCAGGTAGAATCTATCTAAGAAAGGTAGCCCCACAAATATATACCAGTAAGTTAAGCTTGACTTTATTTCCTATTTTAACTATAAATCATGTTGTTATACTTCTATCTGATATACCATTTAATCCTTGTGTTGGAAACATGAAAATAATCTTCTAAATTGCGTAGAATCTAACTAAGAGCAACTAAGATGATTAAAGGCCTGGAGACTAAAACTTATGAAGAACAATTGTAGGATTTGGGTTTGGCTAGTATAGAGAAAAGAAGGACTAGAGATGACATGATATCAGTATTCCAGTATTTGAGCAGCTGCCACAAAGAAGAAGGCGTCAACTTATTTTTCAAAGCACCACAGGGAGAAACAATGGATGGAAACTAATCAAGAAGAGAAGCAACCTGGAGTTAAGGAGAAACTTCCTAACAGTGAGAACAAATAACCAGTGAAATGACTTGCCTTCAGAAGTTGTGGGTGCTTCATCACTGGAGTTTTTAAGAAGAGACTAGACAGCCTTAGTTTGAAATGGTATAGGCTCTCCTGCTTGAGCAGGAGGTGGACTAGAAGGCCACTAAGGTCCATTCCATTCACATTGCCATTTCCTAGTCCCATGGACTCTCATAGTAGTTAAAACAGCTTGTTAAGCATCATTGCTGGATCTTGATCATGAGGCTTTGTTCTCAGTTACTCATGACCTTTCATATGGATTATGTGCTATAGATAGGGCTGCTCTTAAAGAGCATTTGGAAGATTCAACTGCTGCAGAATGCAGCTACATGGGTGCATAAGTGTCAGATATTCAAAACATATAATACCACTGCT